GAAAACTGGGACAACTGTAATAGCATAAACAATACAATATTTAAAAGGAAAATATGAAAGTCGCACATTAAGCTTTAAAAAATTAAAACCCTTCAAGACAAAGCACCCAGCAGCACTTGCACGCTGGTACCCTTCCCTTCCCGCTCTCCTTCCCCCACCGGTGTGCACCTCCCAAACTAAGGGACCCCATGAGACTTGCAGCCAGGGCAGCCGTGGGCAGCAGCAGCTCCCCCGGGCTAACCCCCCTAACCTGTCCCCAAGGCCCCCTTTCCCCTGACTTCCCAGTGAGCCCAAGCAGCCCCACCTAGACTCTCTCCTGTTGCTTCTTCTAGCCTAAGCTCTTCCTTGTTCCAACGGCCCCAGCTTTAGTAAGTGTACTCTCAAAATCACCTAGACACGTGGTGTGAAATCTTTCCTGCACGAAGCCAAGAACCCACACACAACAGGCCGGCCCGAAGCAGACCCGCTCAGGGCCAGGTCCCTGCCCAGTAACATCCCCTCGGTCTGAAGGGTGAGTGGCTGAGCTCCCAGCTGCTGTGACGTGGACGCAGGACCCAGCACACGGCAAACAACACATCATCTTATCAGTCAGCCCTGACAAGAACATGGCTCGGAGTAGGAGGCCGTCTTTCCGTGGTGTGCTGGTCCTCAGTCCCGGTGATTTCAAAAAGTCTGATCGCTAGCTCACCTGGGAGGCCAGACAAGAATACAGGGGTCTGGGCCCTGCCCCTAGAGAGTCTGATTCAGGAAGTCCCCTTGGGGGCCCAGGCATCTGCATTCTTACTCAGGTTCACGTGTGAGGCAGAACCATCACCTTCGTCGGGAAGCCTGGGTCTGGTCCCCTCCCCAGGTCGCCAGCCTCTGAGCTCATTTCCTCCTGCCTGCACTCGGGTGGTAGATTTTCCAGGAAGGAAAAAGGAGAACTGAAATTCAGTTCCACGTTACCCTGCCCCGGGAGTCTCAAACGGGGTAGTTTTATCTGACCCAGTTCCGAAACATAGAATTTTTTTCAAAAGTTTGAAATTAGTTATCAGCATTTAAAAACAGGTTTCGTAAGCCAGACACAGAAAGCCAAATAGTATATGAATCCCAGAAGAGGATTCTATGAGGCACCTCAAACAGGCAAATTCATAGAGACAGAAAGTGGAGAGAGGTATCTAGGGTCCGGAGGCGGGGCCGGGAGGGGTTACTGTTTCCTGGGTACAGAGTCGAAGGGATGATGGAAACGTCCGGGGTGTAAAGGGTGGTGAACGCTCACACACCCTGTGAATGTGTTTGAGGCCATTGAGTTGTACGCTTAGGAATGGCTAAAATGATCAATATCATGCTTCGTATATTTTACCACAATTAAAAAACAGACTTCACATAAAAATCTGGATTTCTGGTTTCTCTTTAAAGGACAAAAAGAGAGAAGATCTGACGAGGCTGGGTCATGCTTTGTATGTCAGAGGTGGGTGGGAGCTGCAGCAGCTGCTGTCTTCAGATGGGACATGTGTTCTCACGTTTGCTGGGACCTCACCACACTCCAGTGTCACTGCTACTGTGTCACGTTTAAAGGACCGGGCTCCCATGAGCATCTGAGGGTCCCACCCATTCTCCTCTTCGTCACCACGAGCCTAGTTCTGCTCTCCCAGTCCCTGCCTGGTTTCTCCCTTCTGGTGCACAGGGGGAGGCCAGCAGGTGGTCAGCCACGTGGGTTGGGCCCTGGAGGTGGAATTGGATCCAAATCTCCCTTGTGCCACGCAGTCGCTGTGGGGCCCCGAATAAGGCTGCTCCATTCACCTGCCTCAGTTTCTTCCCCGTAACAACGGGGACAGTTCCGCCTGCCTCACAGCGCTGCAAAATTAGATAATGGATGAAAACGCACCTTGCACAGAATAGCTGTTTGATAGATATTTAGCTCCTTTCCCCTTTAATTTTCCCATGGCAATTAGGGAAAGAAGATACTAAACACTTTGTGGATAACTGAAAATAAATCCTCTATATTCTAATAAGTTTTGCTTTTCTAAAAAATCTGAATCTCGGTGCCTGGTACAATTTAAATACCTGGTGTGAGAACTCTGCAAAGGCAGGGGTTAGCTTTGCAGCCCTAGCGCAGCACCTGGGGGAAAAGGTAGGAGCTAGGTCAAGGGGTTCAGAATAGGCCTCCCCAAGATGCGCTCCTTTGGCGTATGGATTATTTCAAGCTGAAGGCCATTGAGACCCTGCCGAATCAGGAGGACCTTCTGTCCCCCCCTTAACTACCTAGGAGGATTTAAATTGGGGGCCGTGTCCATAACAAGAGCTATTACCAGAAACAGCCTTGATGACCAATCTACAGGGCGGAACAAACTTCTAACTACTGAGTACGCCTCTTACTGTCCAGTGAAAGCCCCTCCTTCCCCAAGGCATCTTACCTTAGTCCTAAGGATGTCATATAAGCCTCATTCCACCTGACTCGGAAACGCTCACGTGTGTGGGGTCTCTGACTCTTTGATGTATGTGGTTTCCCACCTGTACACATGTGACTAAATTTGGTTATTTTCTCTTGTTAATCCGCCTCATGTTGATTGCATTATTAGACCAGCTGAAAGAGCCTGGAAGGGCAGAAGGCATTTTCTTCCTCCTCCACGCAAGTGAGAGTTTGTTGAAGGAATAAATGAATGCTGGCTTGAGTGCGAGGAGGGTCTGGGGCGGGGTGTGGAGGGTGTGAGAAGCACTAGAAGAGAGAGGTCAAAACTATCAGGGGGTTTGCTGACCAGTGTGAAGGTTGCAGCCCGTGAAGAATTGTTCAGCAGAATGACATTTAAAATCTGTTTAACGGCTTTGTGGAGCCTTCTTTCTAAGAAGCGAAGCTCAAGGTGCTTTGTTAACATGTAATTCTCCTCCAACTCAGTCATGCATTACTCACAACGAAAGGTGAAAACACACTCAGAGGCCCTGGCCAGGTCCCCACACACCCAGATTGCAGGTTCGATCCCCAGTCAGGGCACATGCAAGAATCGACCAATGAATGTACAAACAAGTGGAGCAAAAAACTGATGCTTCCCTTTCTCTCTCTTTCTCTCTTTTTTCCTCTCTCTCTAAAAATCAATAAACACAATTTTTAAAAAATATGCTGAAAACCAAATATTTATCTCTACGTCAGGAAGCATAAACAATTCGGGTTTTTCCATGTTTTTTTTTTTTTAACCCAGCCTGGTGGGTTGAGCCCAAAAGATGGAACTAAATAGGTGGCTCTGTGCTACAAAGATTTGCTGTCAGAGTGTTTTTAAGTGTGCAGTTCTTAGCAGGTCCTGGCCTTGGTGGGGTTAGGGGTGATGAATGAGTAACTAGTCTCACTAAATGTCAAGATACAGCTGGCGTCACGTTCCCTCACGGGTGTGTGAGGAAGGATAAGGAAACCTAGTAGTTCACCCTGAATGGTTAACAAAACAAGGGTTGGGTTCTCTGATCTCACCAGGCCACCTGAGGGCTGCTCCCGTTCCTCCTGCCCTCCCCAAACTGGGGCCTTGTCTGTATCCTGTTCTACTGCAAACAGGGAGATCTACCTCTCCGGGAGTTTGAAAGGTCCTCCCCTTCACCCCCCACCCCCACCCCAGGCTTTACCCTCCTATAAAGCAAACACCCAGTGAAGTCAAGCCCACCAGCAGGGCTGCAGTGGGGGGTGTTAAAACTCCCCGTCACATCACCTTAGACTCTCAGGCTTTTAGAGGACGGGGTACATGCCACCCTCAACACCTGTTTTTCAGTTGCCCTGAACAAGAACCATCTTGTTTCACCCCTAGACTCCAGACCAATTCCATCTTCAGGACATTAAAACCCACAGGTGAAAGAAAAAAAAAAGACTGGGTAAAGGATTTTTTGTTGCCGGCGTGTGTGTGCTAAAGAAGGCCTCTCTGCATGTTTTCACTGGCTGCTCACACTGCTACCCAGGGGGCAGGACTGAGTGGTTTGGGCAAATTTAGCCCAAGTCCACTTCCTGGTGGTGAGGACGAACAGAATGAAAGTGAGCCTTCAGAGAAGCGTTGGAAATTTCTGACCCAAATAAGAAGTTTCTAAATGAAAGGTTAAATTTTCTAAATGCGATGAACAGGTTAAGGGAAAACGGGCCTGTATGAACTAAGGGTTACTAGTCACCTTTAAACACAGAGCCACAGGTGCGTGTGCCTTGGGAGGCGGTGAGTGCCGGAGACAAGGGTCCAGGTGAAGAAGAGCCCCGTACATAACTCGCTTCAAATATTTGGAGAACGCAATCACATTCATAACACACCCGAGTTTCTGGGTCTTGACCACACTGAGATGCAAGGAATTGGAGATGCTCCTTCCGAAAAGAAGGGATTAAGAGATAAGCTTCCCAGGGCTTTCCAAGTTTCCTAGCCTTTGGAAATTCAGAGTGAGATTTCTTCTCTATGCTGCTGAGCTTGGCTGTAAACCAGAGGGAAGGAGTTTGGCAGAAAGCATTGTTCCTACTGTCCTGACTCTAGCTGCACATGAAAGAAGGTAAGAACAGTGCCAAGTGTGACCAGGGCACCACTCTGCAATTCCCCGTGGTCCAGGAGATGCTGCATTCTAGGAAAGCTGTTGGTCAGGCTGAAAGCGCCTGCTAAATTCTGACGGGACCAGAGTAGTCTGGCGTCCTGGAGGTGCTCCCAGAGAAAGGATAGCTTTCCTGAAGTCCAAGGTCTAAGCTGATGGACTGACAGGTTCATGAATAAAATCATCAAAGCCATCATATGTTTCTAAAGCATGCTTTCTGCGAAGGGGAGGAGAAATTGTGACGGGGGTGCAAAATCCCCTCCTTTTGTTTCCCCCAGCCCTTCTCTTACACAGCCACTCAGTCATAATCACTCACCCACACCATCAGTCACACCCAGCCACAAAGCCCCTCAGAGTCACAAACACAGCTGAAGTCAGAAAATTGGCCTCCCACACAGTGAAGCTGCAGTTAGGGAAAACTGAGCAGTCCCACAATGACACGATGCCCATTCCCCTGAACGCCCACGAGCACTGCTACCCACCTGATTGCCAAAGACAGCTATGGAGCAGGCCGTGGAGACTTCATTCGCCCCGAACCAGACCGAAGCGATGCGGGACGGCATGCCCAGGATGAAGACCTGGGCCACGGAGCAGATGACCTGGCCCAGCACCGTGACGGGGAAGAGATGCGGCTTCAGGCTCCCTAACTTCACCCAGGCCCCCAGGCAGTTGAGAGCGGAGCCGGTCAGGGCGATGGTGCGCAGGCCGAATTTTTCCAGCAGCCAGGCCACCGGCAGTAGTAAAGGGATGTAGGTCAGCATGTAGCACATGGACAGCCAGTCGATGGCAAAGGCACTGACGTCGTAAAAGTTCATGAAGATGTTATTGATGGAGCCATACTGGATCCACTGGAAGGCGTTGCACATGGAGTAACAGCTGAACACCAGCACCACCACCCAGCGGCGCTTGCTCACCTTAATCATGCTGAGTTCCTCGGGACCCGAGCTACTGGGTTGGGCCAGGACACCGGGAGCCAAGGTACCGGGCAAGGCTGAACTGCTGGGATTCGCAGAGAAGCTGGGGTGGAAGGAGACGCTGGGATGGGCTGAGACGCTGGGCTCGGTGGAGACGCTGGGGTGGGCTGAGACGCTGGGGTGGGCAGAAATGCTGGGGTCCGCCCGGAACGCTGCCTCCTGCCCGGGGGTGCCATCCCGCTCCTCCAGGTTGGGACCTTCATTCACCATGGCCACGGCCTCGCCTGGAGTGCTGGACAGGTGCTGAGAACTCCGGCAGTCTTGAGGCACAGAAGCCTCGCCCGGTCCCGTAAAGCTGATGGGGCAGTTGCTCCGCTCTCAGAAGAAATGGAGATCCAATCCTGCGTGTAAGCCACGAGTGAACCTCCCAACTTTCACCTCCCAACTTCTACCCCCACTTTTCCGTGGGGCCCGCTCTTCCCCAGGCCGGCCGCAGACGCCTCAGCCGGGTCCTGGCCGCCGGCGCCTTGATTCTGACTGAAGCTTTCTCGCCACGTTCAGCGCTTCGGTCCGGGAAAAGACTTAGCTCCTAGCGCAGCCACTTCGCCGGACTCCGTTTGCTCCCGGGCCGGCTAGGGGCCTCGCCCCTAGGGCGCACGTGACCGCCCCGCCCCCGTCCCGCCTGGCTTCCCTCCCCCCCCCCCCCACCTCCTCCGGCCGGGCGGGCCTGACAGCCCAGTTGTTTCGCCACAGTTTGAGGGGTGCATTCCTCCTCCACGCCCCAGGCGCCATGGAAACCGCCCGGTTAACCTCCCACCCCCTGAACTGCCCCTCAAATTCATTTGCCCCCCTCCTAAAGGACCACGCCAGAAAATCCTGTCCTCCTTTCCGAGGTAACCCTCCAAATAGTTTCTTCGCACCGGTCCACATTTTCCACGCGCGTGCACCGAGGCCCTGCGCCTCCACAATGGTCTGGGGAACCCAAGAGGAACTCCCAACTTTTTCCCACTTGGCTGAGCTCCAAACCCTTCCTGAACTACGGTATAGAGATTTGTAGTTTTCACGGCCTGGTTGCGCTCCTGGAGTCAAGGGGAATTGCAGAAAACTCACTTTGTCGATTGCTTTCGGTGCGCACGTCGCCTTACCGCGGGGGAACTCATGTTGGAGCCTGTTCGATAGGGCTATTCCGTCTTCACGGATCCCCGGGGCCGCCTCCTAAGCGAGGACCTGAGGGTGGAGGGAAGAGGGCAGTAAGAGATGCTTGGGAGCTCTCGGCGGTTGCGTGGTGAAGGGCAGGGCACCTAAGTAGCCCTGGGCTGCCACCTGCTGGGCCAGCCATTCCAGAGAGTAAATCCTAAACTCAGGACCTCCAGAAAGTCAGCCCTTTAGGGCAGGAATGCCTTTGTCCACTGATCCATTTCAGCTCTCGGGAGGGCTGGACTTTCTCCCTGGGTTCACACACCAGCTTAACTACTCCGAGGTACGTAATGTAAATTAAGGTAGTCCATCCTGGTCTCGATTTATCTGTAAAGTCGGAATGATGAAATAATAGTGCCCACCTTGGCGCAGTGATGTTTTGGGGCTTGCTTGACTTAAGACACAAAAGCACTTTGAAAATGCCCACAGATACTAAGCATTTCATGAGAGTTGACTATCCTAACAATTAAAAGGCTAACATTTGTTGTATTGTGCTAAATGTATTTACTGCATTGTCTTATTTAACCATCACAAGAATTCTGTAAAGTGGTTACTATAGCTTGCCTGCATTTCATACTGATCAGGAAACTGGGGCTCCTGGAAGTGAAGGAACTCCTTCCTTCAGGGCCTGGCTGGTCTGAAGAGCATTACTTCTCCTGCAAGTCTGCATTCAAGCTACAGCCTGGCGACTCAAGTGCAGCCTGGGACCTGAGACAGCAGTGTAGGCAACCCCTGGGAGCCTCTTACAAGGGCAGAAACCCAGATCCACCCCTGACCTCCTGAACTGAAGTCTGCATTTTATCATATCTCCAGGTGATGCGTTTATCTGCACATTCAAGTTCGAGAGCCATGGGGTGCCACTGCATTTTGTTTATTTTCTTTTTTAATCGTTAGACCAAAAATGAAGAATTTAAAGCTCTGTAATCCAATGTGCAACCCAAGTTGGAACAGTGGTTGAGAACCCAAGTTGAGAACTTGGGTTGCACATTAAAATCACATTGGGGGCCCTGGCCACGTAGCTCAGTTGGTTAGAGTGTCATCCCAATACACCAAGGTTGTGGGTTCAATCCCTGGTCAGGGCACATTTAAAAAGCAACCAATTAATGGGTAAACAAGGGGACCAACAAATCAATGTCTCTCTCTCTCTCTCTCTCTCTCTCTCTCTCTCTCTCTTTCTCTCTCCCCAAGATCAATAATAAATAAATAAAACTTTATTTTAAAAAAATAAAATAGAGTCACATGGGGGGAACTCTTAACATTCTCAATGCCTCAGCCACAGCCCACATCCGGGTCTCTGGGTGTGGAGCCTGGCATCTACATGTGGAAAACTCCCCAGGTGATCTCAACATGTACCCGAGTTAGGCACCTCTAGTGGGGTCGGAACCCTTGGCTGCAAAACCAGGCGTCAGACTGGTGGAGTCAGACTGAACCTTGGTTCAGCAACCTTGGTACTTGAATTCTAGCTAAGAAAGAATTCAGAGCAATGACTCAACCTGTAACAGAAAGTTTATTTAGAAAGTCACTGAGGCCAAAGTGAGATATAGGAGAAATGAGCTCAGAAAACAAATTACAGAGGCAAAAGGAGGGTCCTTGGAGCTCAGGAGAGAGAGAGAGAAGAAAACTGTGCCTGGGGGAAGGGGGTGGGGAGTACTCCAGAGAGAGCCAAGCTGGGCCCTCCATTCTAAGGGCTTCCAGGGACCAGGATTTGGGGGGCAGTCCCAGGGGGGGATCTCAACAGAATATTCATCAGCTTTCCAGGTGTGTCCTTTCACGGTCAGGGTCTCCATTGATTGGCTGGCACCAGGGCAGGGGGTCATCAGTCAGTGCAGCTGATCCTCACATCAGCCATGGCATCGATTGTCTGATTTTGCTGCTTTTCTGCGCCTGGAGCCGAAACACAACTGAAGCCCAGATGTTACCCCTGGGGGTTAATGCTTAAGGGAGTGGTCGTGGAGGGGCCCACAAGAGAGTCTCATGAGGCCACTCTGCAGCACCTTGGTCCTCCACAGGGTGTCTACTGAGTGACATGTGAAGGGAGGAAAGGTCAGGAGAGAGTCTGAACTGCATGACCAGCATTATGAAAGGTCAGGGGGTCTAAACTGCAAGACCGGCGATCTGCTAGGGGAGGAAAGGTTACCCTGGGGGCGAGGTCCTTGTTTTCCTAGGTTTGCCTGTTGCTAGGCACCTAGGGCTTTCTACCCTTTGACCTCCTGTACCCAGCCCATCGTCCTTGCCCCACTCATACCTGTCTAACTGCCTACTACAGAACCACCAGTTCACAGGAGGGGGAACACTGCTCGGAGGCACCACTTTTTGGTAGAAATTATGGATTATAACGGAATGTTTGCAAAGGAAACATACGCAACTGAGAATTTCTACACTAACTTAACATTCCCTTTTCTCAAAGTTCCAACAGTGTTTCCCATCATTCTTTTTTTTAATTAAATTTCTCATTTCTTTTTTTAAAATTTTATTTATTTATTTTTTAGAGAGGGAAGGAAGGGAGAAAGAAAAAGAGACACACACATCAATGTGCAGTTGCTGGGGCCATGGCCTGCAACCCAGGCATGTGCCCTGACTGGGAATCGAACCTGTGGTTCTTTGGTTCACAGCCCGCACTCAATCCACTGAGCTACGCCAGCCAGGGCTCCCATCATTCTTTATGGGAATATAGGGAGCACTGACACTCCACTCTCTTGGAATGACCTCTCACTGCTTCTTTTCTCTAGGTCATTGTGGTCCTCTCCCCAAACTGTTCAGAATATATTCTTAATTTCATTGTACAGATATGGAAACTGAGGCCCGGAGAGTCAGAGTGTTTTATCCAAGCCCCACAGCTAGCTAGCATAAGAACAAGCAACAATAAGACAGATTTCCTGTATTCCGTTCCACGAAGCCCCTCCTGCGTGCCTTCCTGGGGCAGTGCTTCAGTGTGATGACTGATTCCAAAGGGCCTCCCGTGGGATCTGAGTGATGTTTGGGGCGGGCTTTTCGGGTGGAGTGAACGGGCTCTGCGGTGAGCTCTGGATTCAGCCTGCTCAAGACCTGAAGTCCCTTCTGCCAATGTTAGCTTTGGGATCTTGGGCACTCAACCTCCCTGTCCTTCAGTTTCTGAATCTGTGAAATGAGGATTTGAAATACCTGCCTCACAGGGTGGCTGTGAGAATGAAACCAGATAATGTGTGTTTATTCCTTCAAGAATATTCTGAGAGCCACCAGGGTGGTGCTGTCTCTTGGCTGATTCCCACCAGGGATACAGCAGCTATATAAATGTTGGGTGGATATTACATAGAATGAAATATTAAGTATTCACCCATTGAAAAAACACTTATTGGGTAGCTTACTGTAGGGAACCCCTTCACATGGCGTGGAATAATAGCTCAGCATCCATGTGGAAAAGCAATTGGGGGAGGGAGTGGCACGCAGGACCGTGCCCATGGAGTTTTCTTGTGGGGAATCAGGCTTGCATTGTACCTAGACTGCTAGGAAACTTGTTTTTGCTAAAACTCCCTCACCTGAATTGAGGCAGCAAGGGCTTACTGTAACTTCCTGAAATCTGAGCCAAACCTCCCAAGTATGGACTGTTTCCAGTTCAACCACTTTGCCCTTGGTCTGCAACATCCTTCCCTTTAAAGTAATTAGCAACATTCTTTCCTTTGTTATTTGTAAAAGGTAATCCCCTGCAGTGAACCTATGCATAGGACTACCCTCCCTGTAATGTACCCAGAGAAGGAATAAAAGCCTGTCCAGGCAAGGACCAAGCCCTCTCGCCCTCTCGCCCTCTCTCTCTCTCTCTCAGACAGTGGCCATGCCATCCCTTTTTCTCCACAGGAGTTCTGTTGTCCATGTGTATTTTTTCATGAGCAGCCACAACATACACAGATCCTGCTGGCCAGGATCCGCTGCAGCTTACTGTGTGTTACATTTATTTATCGATGTGTGCTATCTCTAGGTATCCATAGGTACACCTTGAAGGGGAAGGAGAAATACATTTTGGGGGTTGCTTCCTGAAAAGGGACCCTGGTTCCTGTTTTTCTCCCAACTGGCTCCCCAAGGAGTTTGAGGGAACCTCTGGCACTGAACTCAGCTTTTGTGACTTTCTGCAGGATGGTGGCAAAGTCTGCCCCTAGAGGCTGAAAACAGTTCCTGGCAGTGAGAGCAGAACTTGGCGGTCAAAATAAGAACCTTATCGGAAGCTCACCGCCACCTGAACAAGGGGCTGTAGATGTGGAAGGCACGGCGTTTGTCGAGTGCATGGGAAAGCTGAGTTGCTAATGAATGAATCAGGCTGAGACCCTGGAGTATTCCCCTTAAAAATACTGACACTTGGCATTTGCAAAAATGTTGTCCGTACAGATCTTATATGTGTAATACTTCACACGTACAAAATCCTGTTTGCCTTATCTCCCATACTTCCCATGTATTTCCAGCTCCTAAGGACTTG